GATGTCTACAAACAAAGTTTCATCCTATGCTTTGTATAAACATGGATTTCAATTTTGATTTGCAGATGGAAAGGCGATAATTCGAGTTTCTAAAGATGATGGTTTTATGTCTAAAAAATCTTCTTGCAACCGACATTCATGAAATTGTAGTTTATGTTTCTAATAATAACAATGATGACTTGAACATTGATTCTTCTAATAGTTAAGATATGATCATGCTTGTGGCATGATCGCCTTGGACATATAAGTAAGGATAGCATCACCAAGATCAAATTGGACTGGACTTGGAATCATTCAACCTTGAGTTGGATGATGAATGCAAACCTTGTATGTTGGCAAGACGACTTATTTACCGTTCACATGAACATGTAATGTAGACAAAGGATTGTTGGATCTTGTACACACAAGTGTGTGTTGACCCATCAGATCCACCACAAGGGATGACATATACTACTATATTTATTGATAGGTTCAATAGATGTGGTTATGTTTTTGTGATTATAGTATTTATCATAGTGAAAAATGGTACAAAGGTCTTTCTCAAAACATGCTATTGCGAAACTATCTTAATTAATAAAATCTGGTATCTTTTCATTGTTGATGGTTTCAATGGTGCCTCAACTAAACCACAAAACATAACCCGTTTACAATTTCCATAAACTGGAAAATTTTCATCAAGTTTCAGTTAAAAGGTAAAGTTAACATTTTGCATAGTTACTAAAGACATTATCAGTAGACTTAACCCCTAGAAAATATTGCTTTTTCTATACAAGGTTGATAAAGATATGTCATGTCTCCATGTACTCACATATAAAGATATATCAAGAACATTATGAGGCTAAAAATAAGAAGAGGGTGGAGTGGTGTATGTATGTTTTACGCGCATAGTAAGACCCATTTATTTCATTGACTGGGGACAACAAGAGCAACATAAAGATCAAACCTTGTATCTTCTGTCATAATTGGAATTTCTTTGAACACGTGGTGGACAGAATGTAAAGGTAGTTTGCATTATGATATTTGTAAACAAGTGTGAGTCTCTTGGAGATAAATTCATGTTTTGTACCCCTCTATTGCATATCACAAATAAAACCAATAATAAGCAAAAGCTTAAAAAGAAAGAAAGAATAACAGAAAATTACATGTACCAATTGAGCTTCTCCATCAGCGCAAGTATGCTTATCCCAAACAAGCATCATATCAATGCTTAACCGAATGAAGGTTCCCTCCCTAGTCGTCTGTTCCATGTCTTTGAATATTTCGTTGGGCGCTTTCGAGGAGCAATATCCATGAGTAAAGATGAACAAGAAAGGGATTAAACATGCCATTAAAGTGAAATATGGGTTTTATACTTAATTAAATAATTTTTTCATTGGGTAATTACTTTTTAAGATTTTATCAAACCAACTAAACTTTGCTTTTATTGAGATGGCTCCAAACGCAAAATCCACTCCTATAAACTTTTTACTATTTCAAATCATGTCAAGACATGGCATAACTATCTTGATTGGATTCATGCTCTAAGAATCACTCTTAAATACGAAAAGAAAGAGTATGTTATCGACGAAGTTGTTCATGAGGTTTCTATAGCTGGATCTACTAAGGTTGTTAGAGATGGTTAAGAAAAATGTCTCAACAAGTCAAATGAGGTGGCATGACTAATGTTAGAGGCCATGGTTGTGGAGCTCCAAAAGAACTTCGAGAACCTTGAGGCGTTTGACATGACCAAGCAGCTCAAGGAAATATTCCAAGAGGAGGCCATACATGAGTGATTTGATACACTTATAGCTTTTATACAATGCAAGTTGTATGAGGGATCTTATGTCAGTGTGTATGTGTTCAAAATGGAATTATACATTGATAGACTTTAGCGTCTTGGATTTCAGTTTTATCTGGAGTTGGCTACAAATATAATCCTCAATTGGTTGACCAATTCGTATCATCAATCCTCAATTGTTGAAGTCAACATGGCCAAGCCTCGAAACTCCAGTCTACAAATCTAGTACTTTTTATTAGGGAAGGTAGGGTCAAGAAGAAGAAAGCCAACTATCCCAAGTATAAAGGGAAGGGTAATGTTGGAATGTCCAACTCAAACCTTAAAAAGAATGTTGATTATGAGATATCTCCTACAAGCAAACATGATGAAGGCATTTACTTTTATTTTCATCTACTTTTATTGCCAATAAAAGGCATAATGGAAGCGTAGCTATCCAAAATACCTAGAATATATAAAGAAGGACAAAACCAAGAGGCGGAATAACACTACATGTATGTATATGATTGAACTTCATAATACTTTTGCTTCAAACTCTTGGGGTCTTAAACACATGTTATGGTACTCACATTTACACCAATGTACATGGACTAAGGAAAAGTACGATGCTGAAGCATGGAGAGTTTGACTTGATTATGAGCAAAAAACAAATAACTATTGTCAAGAAGTTTGGGGATTACGAGCTTGTAGTTTCAACTGGATTTTCGATTATGTTATTAGATTGTTTGTATTCGTCAGAAATGACAATAAACATTATTTCTTTTCATGTCTTGTATCGAGATGGTTTGCACATGTTTGAAAATAATAAACTAAAATACAAAAACTTTGTAAAGCATATTATACAAATAACAATAGCAATAACAATAATCAAATTAAAACAAAATGATTTTTTTGACAAAGGTATGGTCAAATATTGTTTCTAATTATAGTATTGTAAAGTCTTTTAAATTGAAGAAAAGTTTTAAATAGGGTTATTTTTATCCAAACCACATGAACTCCATATTTTGGATTTAAATGGTTACCGAACTAAATTTTGTGATTTTTCACTAAAGTAACAAAATACATGTCATTTACATCATTTGGAAAAAAGGGGTCTCCCGGTAACATATGGACGTTGACAAAAAAAAGTCTCCCTCCTTAATGTCCACATGACGATGACATGGCGTCTACATGGATTTTCCATTTAAAAGCTAAATATATAATTAGTAGAAAATTAAATCACGTTTGATTCTTTCAGCATGTCTGGAACATTCGCAGACCACCACACACGCAACCTACATTTCTTCGTCGTCAGTATAACTCATCAACCAAACCATCCATGCAACCACAATTCAGTATCACATCATGTAACCTTTCATATGTATGTGATTTCAAAAAGTATGTTTGTTGCAATTCATTATCGGTAATATCCAGATATTTCACATCCTTATATGTCTCTCAGACACTATAGAGGGGTCTGATTCAAATTTGAATTTTAAATCTCAGTAAAAATTAGGAAGATATAACAGTAAAATCTAGGAACATATAACAGATGGATGAACAAATAGAACACATAAAATAACAAATCAAATATGAAACAAAAAACAAACCTATGTATGGGATGTACCTTTAATCGACTACCCTGCCACCACTTACAACCATCCATTATTGTGAAGTGACTTCTATTTTAAGTTTGCACTATATTAACTCTCAAAGATCAAGAAAGCAAGGCATATTTGTATGCATGGGTTTCATAGATATGAATGGATGCATTCTGGTGCACGAACGTGCATTGATACCCGTTGGTGACTTAAGCACTAATGAAAATATCATTGACCACCAATCGACAATCGATCTAATATTGAAATTAAAAGGTTTATATCCCATAACCACCATGCTCAAAGTAATTAGAACAAATAGCTTCAGAGCTTTAGAAACCATATATGTATTGATACGTTGTCCACGAGCCATTTGATGACTTTGTACACAAAAACATGGTTTATTATAGATGTTATTCGGTTGTTCAATGAAATGCCTCTAAAAACCGTATCTACATAGAACACGATTATCTTCGGTTATGCCAAACAAGGAAGGGTTGATTAAGCACGTCACATGTTTAAAGAATGATTGTTTCATGGACGGTGTTAATATCCTACCACCGCCACTTATGTGTCACCGCCAACCAACCATCCCACCACGACCACGATCTCACCGCCCACTTTTCATATATATCATTTATGGATTGTACCTAAAATGATCGATGTGGGTGTGAGACTAAATAGAGATGATTACAGCGGGAGCGGGATGTCACCTGTAGATGATTACAGCGGGACAGAGATGAAAGGTATCATGGTAGATGACAGTGGAAATAAACAAAGAAATAAAAAATGAGGACGTCATGGTCATTCATTTTTTTTAGGGCATCCGCAGTGCATTAAACTCAATAAAGTTTAATGGATTACCACATCATCTTTCTACAATCCATACAACTCTATTATTTTTTTTCTACAATGCATTGAATTTTACAAAGTTCAATAAAATGTTACAAAATGTAATTTATAGTAAATATTTAAGAATTAAAAACTTTCCTTTTTTCTATTGAAGAGTTCAATGGTCATTGAACTGCAAATCCGTTGAATGACAAGATGACATCTCACAATGGTAGAGTTTCATCCATTAAATGACATATAGACTTGTCATCTCATTCAATTCTCTCATTAAACTCACCATTGTTGACATATCAACTAAGTATAATGACAACTTTATTTTTTAAACTATGTTGATTTTCCTTTGATTAGGAAATATAAAATATAATATAATAACCATTTACATCCAAACTGTATAGGATTTTGATGACAATAATGTCATAACCTTTTAAATATATTCATATTGGATGATGGAGATGGTTTAGGCCTCTTACTTTAAGCCCAGATAGTTTAGGCTCGTTTGGCCTGCTCGATGTCGATGCTAGTGACAGGTGACGTGACGTTTACTAGCTACTCTGTCCCAAATTAATATCAATCCACCGAAATTCGACGTCCTGGCGACTGTATTTCATCTCTTTATACTGATTCCTGTTGTTTCCTTCACTTAAATTGGTTCATTTGCAGTTCCAGTGAACTGATAAGCGTTTGTACTCTCTTTCTTATCTCCAATCCCCAAAACCCCACTTGCATGTAAGAATCTTCATTTCATAAAAAGGGGTTTGATAGTATTCCGATTAGGATATTTGATTATTTCAACAACCATGGCTTCGTCGATGCTCTATGGAGGTCAGCATCTTACATTAACCCCGAAAGGGTTAGGGTTTAATGGGTCAGATTTGCATGGTAGGAATTTGCTGAAGATGAATTTGGTTGGTAGAAATTGTAATTTTCGATCTAAAACGCTAGTTGTACCCAAATGCAGCGTGTCTGTACCAAGGCCAGCTTCACAGCCTAGGTTCATACAGCATAAAAAAGAGGCATTTTGGTTTTATAGGTTTCTGTCAATCGTTTACGATCATGTGATAAACCCTGGTCATTGGACTGAAGATATGCGAGACGATGCACTCGAACCGGCTGATCTTAATAACCGCGATTCAATAGTGGTGGATGTTGGTGGAGGCACTGGGTTCACTACTTTAGGTATTGTAAAACATGTCGATGCTAAAAATGTTACCATTTTGGATCAATCGCCTCATCAGCTTGCAAAAGCTAAAGAGAAGGAGCCTTTGAAGGAATGCAAGATCATTGAAGGAGATGCTGAAGATCTTCCTTTCGAAACTGATTATGCCGATAGATATGTGTCAGCCGGAAGGTATAGCCTCTAATAAATGTTCATTTCTATGTGATTATTGCTATTTGTGTAATCATTAGACAATCATATAATTAATTGCTTGAGGGGGTGTTTGGATGTGTGATTAAACCTATGATCGTGATAATCGAGTGTCTCTGTAAACTGATTATATGATTTCTGAATGGGTGAAAACAATAAGATATGAATAGTCAATGAAAGAATTGGCAAAAGAAAGATGATTATTGAGATACATGTAATTTCCCAATTATCCATAGCTTTAAGCAACTGATTATCTTATTCCCCAAATGGTGAAAGAATCGCCATATGCCCAGAAAGATGCATGTTTAGTATCCAATTATATGTCCTTTGGAAACATATGACTTGAAAGTGGGTAGATGTAAGTAACACCCCTGTCCAATCCAAACACAGTGCAACTTGTTATGTCATGTCAGCCCAGTCCAATTTAAATACAAAATACAATACAACCTGTTATGTTATGTCATGTCATGTATTATGACCATATTTCTTTTCAGCATTGAGTACTGGCCGGACCCACAACGAGGCATCAAAGAAGCATACAGGGTTTTAAAGATGGGAGGGAAAGCTTGTTTAATCGGACCTGTTTATCCAACATTTTGGTTGTCTCGTTTCTTTGCAGACATGTGGATGCTCTTTCCTAAAGAGGAAGAGTACATGGAGTGGTTTGAAAAGGCGGGATTCAAAGATGTTGAGATTAAAAGGATTGGCCCAAAATGGTATCGTGGGGTCCGCCGACATGGTCTCATCATGGGATGCTCTGTGACAGGTGTCAAACCCACATCAGGGGACTCTCCTTTGCAGGTAACCTCTTCTTCCTCATTACCAATAATGATGATATTGATATGGTTAAAAAGTGAATAATAATTTAAAATGGGGGTTTTTGTAATTTTGTTGCAGCTTGGACCAAAGGTAGAGGACATAGAGAAGCCTGTAAATCCATTTGTGTTCTTTTTACGTTTCCTTCTTGGGGCAACAGCTGGAGTGTACTATGTTTTGGTTCCTGTTTACATGTGGATCAAGGACCAGATTGTGCCAAAAGGTCAACCAATATAAGAAACTGTTTTTAGTTTGTGTGGAATGTTGTTTTGTTTGAACTGCAATCTGTAAACTTTCTAGAGTTGAGATTATCAAGCATTTGTTTTATGAAAAGAGAATCTAGTCTTTTGGCCATGAATTGTAAGTTGTAACACTTGTAGAAAAGCACAAATGGACTCCATATCGCAGCCTATATGGACAAAGTTGCCACATCATATTAAGAATAAAACATAAACAAGATACCCACATGTTTTATAAAGCCTTCGATTCCTTCAAACCCAAAAGCCCTCCATCTGGAGCGATTTCACCATTGTATGAGGTTAGTTTCGTCGATTTTTGTGACTAAGAATATATCTTTGTATTCTTGATCGTTGGCTTAAATTCAATTTAGAATTCGTTTCGGAGAGTCCCCATGTTGGGACAACTTTTTGAATACTGTCTAGGATGTGAATGTGTATCATCACTTTGGATACTTAATAAATAAAATTGGTAGACATTCTCTCTTTTACTCCGACTAGTTTGCATTTCAAGCACATACGACTAGTTTGCATTTCAAGCACATACTTCAGATAAAAATTTGTCGATTTTCTTAAATATTAGTGTGTTGGTACGCATCAGATATGATATGAGATTGACTATTCAAAAAGTGGGATAAATGATCACCTTTAAACAAATAAAAGTGTTCATATCATGCATACTTGGGGGTTAAAATAAAATTTTGTCGATTTTCTTAAATACTTAGTGTGTTGGTACATATTCACATATGATATGAGACTAATTATGGGTTAATTTTAAAAAAAATATATAAAAGTCTAAATATTAAGAACTTTGAATTTATAAGAAAATAAGAAAAATAATGAATTATTATAATAAAAAAAATTATCGTTTAAATTTAAAAAATAATTTATATAAATAAATAAATTAATTAATGAAATTTAATTTTGAGAAAATTTTAAATTAAAAGGTAAGTTCATTAATGACATTGATATCCATTTATTACTATATTTATTGCAATTATTACATTAAAATATTATGTGAAATTTAAAAAAATAGAAAAACTTATACAAAGACATGTTGAAAAAATTAATTCAAAATAACCACAAAATGACATTTGACAATTTAAATGAGAGTGTGATAAGTGTCAAAGAAATTTTCATTTATTAGAATAGATTGAGTATTCAAAAAGTGGGATAGATGGCCACCTTTAAACAAATATTCCCTCCGTCCCAAAATTATTGCCCACGTTTGACTTTTTAAGTCTCTTTTGTTTAACTTTGACCTTAAATAATTTACTTTTTGTTATACAATTTTTTATGCAAGATATATGAATAGATTGTTTTTTAAATGTATTTTCATTGTTATAAGTTTCACCAAAAAATATATAAAACAAACAAAATTATTTATGGTCAAAGTTGACATGGAAAGACTTTAAAAGTCAAGCGCGGACAATAATTTTGGGACGGAGGGAGTAATAGGGTTCATATCATGCATACTCGAAGGTTAAGATAAAATTTTGTCTATTTTCTTAAATGCTTAGTGTGTTGGTACATATTCACATATGATATGAGATTGCGTATTCAAAAAGCGGGATAGATGGTCACCTTTAAACAAATAACAGGGTTCATATCATGCATACTTGGGGGTTAAGATAAAATTTTGTCGATTTTCTTAGATACTTAGTGTGTTGGTACACATTCAGATATGATATGAGATTGAGTATTCAAAAAGTGAGATATATGGTCACCTTTAAACAATTAATAGGGTTCATATCATGCATACTTCAGGGTTAAGATAAAACTTTGTCGATTTTCTTAAATACTTATGCATACTTTAGGGTTAAGATAAAACTTTGTCGGTTTTCTTAAATACTTAGTGTGTTGGTACATATTCACATATCATATGAGATTGAGTATTCAAAAAGTGGGATAGATGGCCATCTTTAAACAAATAATAGGGTTCATATCATGCATATTCGGGGATTAAGATAAAATTTTGTCTATTTTCTTAAATGCTTAGTGTGTTGGTACATATTCATATATGATATGAGATTGAGTATTCAAAAAGTTGGATAGATGGTCACCTTTAAACAAATAACAGGGTTCATATAATGCATATTTGGGGGTTAAAATAAAATTTTGTCGATTTTCTTAAATACTTAGTGTGTTGGTACATATTCACATAGGATATGAGATTGAGTATTCAAAAAAGTAGGATAGATGGCCACCTTTAAACAAATAATAGGGTTCATATCATGCATACCCAGGGGTTAAGATAAAATTTTGTCGGTTTTCTTAAATACTTAGTGTTTTGGTACATATTCACATATGATATGAGATTGTTTATTCAAAAAGTGGGATAGATGGTTAAGATAAATTTTTGTCGATTTTCTTAAATACTTAGTGTGTTGGTACATATTCACATATGATATGCTATGAGATTGAGTATTCAAAAAATGGGATATATGGCCACCTTTAAATAAATAATAGGGTTCATATCATGCATACTCGGGGGTTAAGATAAAGTTTTGTCGATTTTCTTAAATACTTACTGTGTTGGTACATATTCACATATGTTATGAGATTGAGTATTCAAAAAGTAGGATAGATGGTCACATTTAAACAAATAACATGGTTCATATCATGCATACTTGGGGGTTAAGATAAATTTTGTCGATTTTCTTAAATACTTAGTATGTTGGTACATATACACATATGATATAAGATATAGTATTCAAAAAGTGGGATAGATGACCACCTTTAAGCAAATAATAGGGTTCATATCATGCATACTCGAGGGTTAAGAATTTTATCAATTTTTTTTTAAATATTTCGTGTGTTGGTACGTATTCACATATGATATGAGAGTGAGTATTCAAAAAGTTGGATGTATGACCATCTTTAAACAAATAATAGGGTTCATATAATGCATAAATCACAATAACATATTCTCATAATTACTATAATGTTTCTTTAATCTAGCTTTTACGTATAAAACATAATCTAACTTTTATCAGCGAAACTCAAGCTAATTCGTCATGTATTTAATCTACACATAGTCTAACTTTTATTAGTGGAATAGTATGTTGGTGAAATAGTTATGATGATTGATACAAGTTGGATTAAATAAAAAATCGAAGGTCTTCATATTTCTTCAATCGTCTTGGCAAATTTAAGGATATTGTCAAGAAACATGTTGACAATGAAAGCAAAATGTGTTAGCCCATACATAAGTTGTTGCATACGGTTTATGTCCACATTCATGGTTGTAGGATTCTAGAATCATATAAGACATGGATTTACCACTCTAACAAAATTTATTCAGTTTCAACTATATTTGGGGTCTAACAAGAAGTATTGCAACATCGATTGAAATGTTTGATGTGGTTGATGACGTTATTGCACAGTAAAATACAAATTAAGAAAATATAGATTGGTAAAGAATTGGTTTAGACTCGAAATTTGATGCATTGTTAAACAAACTGAAAAGCGTGCTATACAATCATTGTAGTTGGATGTTCTTCCTTAAATTTCTAGCAAAATTGGTTTTGGTATCGACATCAATCAAAACAATTGTCCTGTCTCGAAGATCCTTCTCCAAACAATAATTAGAAGGTTGTGGAAGAATTTTAACAATTGAAAAATTAGGGATCATCTGATATTAATGTTACTAATGAGATAAATTTCAACATATGCTCAATAACGGGAAGGGTATAATTGTTATTTTGTTAATTTTTTTCTTTCAACTCGGAACGACTAAAATATATCATTTCTTTTGAACCCAAAAACACATAAATAATTTACTTTTTTCATTCCCTTTTTAATTTTTCCTCATCGCCTTTTTTTATTTTATTTTTATTTTTTTTATACTCAGGTTAAATGAAACTCAAAACAACAATTATTTTTATTTTCTTACAATTTCCATCTATTTCTCAATTTTTCCACCAAATAAAAAACCTAAATACGACGACATACAAAAATGAATTGTAGTAGCGGTAATAGGGATCGAATCCACAGAGATTGGTTCGAATCAAATCTATGCATTCAGTTTCTACGAAATAAAAATAATGAAAAGTGGGGGTTTCTTGAAATATTAAATACGATAAAAACTAATTTATAAAAAGCTAAAATAACAAAATAGAAAAGCTATAAAACAAAACGTTTCAATATCGGGATAAATCGCGAGTTCAATTAGTTGACTAATCATCATAATTTTGTGGTGCAATGGGTTTAATGGATACTAATTTGGCTATATCAATCTAAGAAGCTTGGGACCACCTAGACATTTCTTAGTTAATACAATGGTTAGAGAAGCTCATAACACATTTTCTTAGTTAAAGTCATAATTTCCATGAAGCATGTAATTAATGAAAATTAACTAGCATTAAAAACCAAAAAGTCACCGAATCCAAGAGGAGTCAAAATGCTTTCACTATCATGTTGGAGAAAATATTTTTATGATTGTGTGAAAGAAAAACAATCACAAGAACCATTTGTTGCTTGTTAATTTGAAGATCTATTACGTAATCAAGAAATTAACCAACTAATTAAACATTCACATATCTAAACTCATGATTAAAGACATATGAACATAAATAGATGTTTACTAGAAAATATTTTCATAGAATATCATCAAAACCACACAAAACCATTCCTAATCAATTAATTGCTCCATAGAGTCACCCAATATTGAAAATAAAAACTAAGTAGACAAAATAATAATAAGAATAAAATGATAGAAATTATACCAATACCGATTACGAAATGAAAATGACAAAAGCTCATTGAAATCGTCATTTCTTGTGCTCTAAAAACTCCATCCATAATCCAAGTATTAATACAAAAATTAACCTAATCTAATTTCAAAGATAAATCATTACAATAATAATATCATGAAAAATATATTAAAGTTCCAAAAAAAATGAAGAAGCAAAAGAAAAGAGACACCAAGAGGTGCCGTCCCTTCTTTTTCTTTCCTGCCGTGAAAATTTGAAAATGGAGATGCCCTACTGCTGCTTTTCTTTCTGCATTCAATTCCAGCACAAGACAAATGGGCTAATAAATTGGGCTGCTAAGTATTAAGTAATGGGCTGCTATATGGGCTGATAAATTATGCACTATTGAGCTT